CTCCAGAAGCATTCAATTCAACTACACTGCCTGGGAACAGAATAACCAACAGACCAAGAGTTAAAAAAAAAAAAAAAAATTTAATTTCAGCTTTATTTTCTAGACAAGCCCAGCATGTATACTGGGGGGAACAAATGGGTCTGTTATTATGGGCAACAGTCTCCAGGGTACAAAGGTTTTAACTCAAGTCCTCTCAGGAGCTAAAAGGAACACGACTGAATCCACTCAGCTCATTTCTGGTCCAAGTCATGCTCCTTCCCAAGCCCTTCATCCCCTTCCTTCAGCATCCTCACTCCCATGGAACAAAATTCCCAAAAAAAGCCCCATAAACTCTCCCCACTGCCAAGGGACCCCAAATCTTGTAGAGCCTCCTCTCTGACACATCCCTGTTTATCTGAGGCCCCCCTCCCTCGAGCCACGAGGGTGAACTGCTTAATCCTCAGATTAAAACAAACAGAAACTCATTAAAAACTTTCACCCACACAGCCCAATTAACTTTCAATGGCAACTGTTGGGGGTTTTTCTGCTGTTTTTGTTCAAGCTTGGAGATAAGCACGGGAAATTAAAGGGATATTTAAGTGAACTCTAATTTTTTGGACAAATGGGAAGTCAAATTCAGTTAAAAATTCAAACAAAGCCTGACCACAACAGGAACAAAGGTGGGTCAGACTAAGAAATGCCAAAAAAAAGTTGGGTTTGATCAAAAAAAGAAGTGTGCCTTTTTTTTTTTTTTACCATTTTCTGCTACAGAGGAGAATGAGGGATGAGCCAGCACCTAGTGTGAGGAAGATAGAGGTCAGCCTGCACCAGACACAGAGCAGCTCCCATCTCAGTGGTAGCAATAAACAAGAAACAAGAGAAAAGCATGCACCAGAACCATTTAATAATTCATTCTGCATGTACTCTGYTTTGAGTCCTCTGCTCCTTGCCAATTTAGTTGATATCCAAAGAGCTGGTGAGGAATTATAATATCAGGCTAGTTAACCATGCTGGGGTAAGTGCCTGTTTTATTTACACCTCTGCATCCTAATTTAAATTTTTAACGGGGTTGTAGAGATTTAACAAGGCAGATCTTAATCCATACACTCACAGTCCAAATAGTAACCCCCTTCAGAGCCTTAATTTACAGAAAAAACACCCTTCACATCCCCCCCAAAAAAAATAAAATAAAAAAAGGAATGTTCCTATTTCTATGACACAGCTTGGAAGAAAAAGTGGAAGTTGAAGAATCTTTTATAAATTTATGTAAATGGCTACAAGTTCTGAAGGATTCAGGAGAAATTTTTTCACAGAAAGGGTGATGAAACATTGGAAGGGGCTGCCCAGGGTGGAGATGGTGGAGTCRCCATCACTTAAGGAAAGGCTGAACATGGTCTGGTTGACTCAGTGGTGTTTGGTCAAAAATGAGGCTTGATCCTGAAGGTATTTTCCAACCTGAACTGTCTTRTGATATACAAAATAGTTCACAGCAGACTGCAAATGCACATGAAACTCCAAGTTCTGCCAGCTGAGAGCCATCCTAATTAAGTGGGAACACTCCACAATCAAGAGCTGCCTGGTTCAGGCCTCCTCCTCTGGAGAAAATTATTTAAAACTGTCCATTTTCAGAATTATTGCCTGTTCCTCACACCACACAGCACAGGAACCAAATCTTGAGTCAGATGCAGACCCAGCCTCACCCACAGGACCTGCCTGGTGTGTTTTATCCAGCAAGTTTCAGCTGCAAACTGCAAGGATCTCACAGAGGAGGGAGCCTGGCTCAATTCCTGCCACTTCAGAAAGTCCCACCTGCCAAACCAACCCAYCACAGCAGATGTCACAGCAGAGGARTCAAGCYCAAAAGGAATGTGGTTTATTTTTCCCCAAAGAGCCACTTTTTGAAGGGTGTTGGGAGGCTCAGGTGAACCAGGAGCTCCTGGTATCTAGAAGCCTTATAGAGAAAGCTGCAGCATTCAGCTTGCTAAAGAAACATAAAAATTCCAGGCACAGAGACAAAACACATGATCAATCCTCCCAGACAAGCAAGCCTTATCCTCTGCTGTGCCCTGTCCCCATATCCTATAATCCCTTTATAGGATTTCTCTGACTGGGAAGGACAAATAGGACCAACCTCACCACAGAGTCAAGGCAGGAGGACATTTGTTACCCAGCTCATCCCTCCAGAGTCCACCACCWCATCTAGATACATTTTCATTTTGTCTGTGCAATCTGATTTTTTTAAAACATCCAATTGCATCCAAGCCAGGCAGGTGAGCACACAGATGCAATTAAGCACAGGCAGCGTGGCACAGATGGTCCCCAAAGAAGCAGAGTGAGCTGAGCAGCAGGGGTTGGTGTTTAATGATGAGCCARGCCTGCAGTGAGCAGAGAGCTCTCTCAGCTCCTTGCATTTCTTCCCACAGGGAGCAAGGCACAGCCTCTCCCCAAAGGGCCAAGATCCCTCTTTAGGGACCCAATCACRTGGCTGCAACAGCATCCCCCAAAATTTTGAGTATCCTGGGCTGCAGCTCAAGGTAGCTTTAAAGGAAAGCCCTCCCAAGCATCTTGGATATTCTCAGAGCAAACACCAGGAGCTGTAATTCTGGGAACCAAAATTCCAAATGCTGCTCCACCATGAGGATGTGATACCCCCCAGCTGCCATGAAGCAGAAAAAGATGTTAGAAAGCAGAGTTATAACTCAAAAACCTTYCTTTGTGCTGAACTGGGGCAGCACCATCCCCAGGCAGAAAGCCTTTCCCCAAATGATAATTCTCACTGTCCCATTTTACAAGATCTGGATTTGTGACCCCCAGCACCAGGGAGCCTTTTTGGCTCTCTGCACAAAGGTCTAGGTCAAGCAGAAGAGATTTAGAACACAAAAGCTGTGCCAGTTGTCAAATRCACAGAGGACAAAGAGCCCCACGCCCCCTGAACGACCTGCAGAGCCAAGAAACCACAGCCTTTCACTCCTCATCACTGGGGACACCTGGTTCCAGCTACAACCCACATTTGCCTTTGGAGGAGCCCAGAGCAGAGAAAAAAAGAGTGCAGAAAGAACCCAAGAAAGTTGCATCGATTCTATATTGGAGCAGAAAGATTTTTTTTTTAATGCCAGTGCAGAAAGTCTCATTAAATAGAGARAGACCAATGCTCAGTTGAAACTGAAATCCCTCTTATCTTCCCATGCAGAAMCCCAGGCTTCTAAAGGAGATCCCAGAGGGCTATAAAACACTTTAGCCTCCTGAATCACACTGCCCTTGCTAAGCAGRGACCTTATTTCCCAGCCTGAAAGATCAGGTTTTCCCTACACACACGACCTTTCCTTCCCCTGCCTMCACTCTCCCATCAGCATCACATCCTTGCCTCACCAGAGACATCCCAAATTCATCCTGGCACAGGGAAAATGCTGCAGTTGGAGTCCCAGAGAGCTCAGGGAAGGCTTCAAAGCAAGCAGCAAGCCAGGCACATGCWGTGGGGCAGACTCCCAGCTTTTGCTGCCCTCTAAACTTAGCAGGAGGGAGAGTTATTGCTTCCTGCAGAGAAAAGATGCTGATGAGCTGCTGTCTGTAGCACCCCACCTCTACTCAGAGGAGAAATACCATCTGGCAGTGCCACCCCTGGAGAGCTGCCAACCTTTGCAGTAAAAAATACTAAAGCAGGAGAAGGTCAAGAGAAAGGAAGGGGAGCAAAAAACAGGCAGAAAGATTAATTCCTGCCAGGTGGTACCGGTCCAGACAGTGGAGCACAGAACTGGATGGACGAGCAAGCAGAGAGGAGTTCAAGAAGGAAAAAGAGCAAGAAACCAATTCTCTGCAGGAAAATYGTGGGTGAGCTGAATAGATGGCAGATCAGAGCTGCAGAGCAGGATCTGCTCCACCTCTGCACCCCTTGGTGATGCTGCCCTGGTGGATGCACACAAAATCAGCTACAGGCATGCAGAACCAGATCCTGCTGCTGCTGCCTACCCCCAAAAAAAAAACAAAAAACAAAACAAAACAAAACAAACCACCCCTTCCACCAGACCCACTGGAATTTCAGGCAATACCAGGACACTGGTCATTGCTTGCTTCCTGCACCTCCTGGCAGAGGACAGGCTGTCCAAAGCTTTATTGGGAGCATTGTGCACATGGGTTGGGCCAAACAGAGCAGGTGGGGGCTGTCAGGGCAGGGGGGGCTCTCCTGTGTGGCAGGAGGAGGCTCCCTGCCCCCGGGGCTCAGGGCTACCTTCTGACTCCAGGCGGTCCAGCCCGTAGGTCACGGCTGTGCTGATCCTCCTGACCGAGGGAAGAGCTGTTCTCCTGGCAGAGGCCACTGATGCTGGAGTCACCAGGAGCAGGGTTCTGCTGGATGGCTCCTCTGSCTGTCCAGAGGGGGTAGAGGACATCCCAGCAGGGGCTGGAACAGCTTTCTCACTGGTGACCAGGATTCCATCTGTGAGATCTGCAACAGACACAAAACAGCAACGATTAAGCACAATATTTTAA